ATGGATGAATGAGGATAGAGCATGGTTTTAGCATACAGGCTATGAAGTGGTTACATTTTTTCATCTGCTTCTCAAAAGGAATAGGATAATCAATCAGTTTGTTGGTGCTTGCCTCCTGAAACAAAAGTCTTTAAGTGCTTTTTAAAGTACTGGGAGGAACACGCAGGGGAAGCCTGAGTAACCTGGTGACCCAGATGTGCAGGGCACCACAGACCGTTCCAATGCAGATTCCTTCTGTTCAGTGATCTTGGGAACAAAGTGGTTGTCGGTGCTCCTGGTGCATTTTTCTTCTGTAAAAGATGTAAATAGCCCAGGGCCATCTTTTTTAACTGTTGTTTTGCACCTCTAACAATTGTCTCCACAAAGTGTTAATAAAAAGAGCAGACAGTGTTTGATAGGTTCATCACAGGTCAGGCTAACAAAGTAAGTTTATCCTGTTCATAAAATAAATATATTCAAAGATGGACTTTGCACCATCCCAAGAAAGTCAGTAACTTTTTGACTCTGGATCGAAGCAAACTGTAAATTCCCGAGTTGTGTTGCCTACCTTGCTTTCAGGTGTCAACGCATAAAATACAAGTAACTTTACTGTCACGTGCATTATCATAGTAAGGAGAGGAAAGGAGAACAGCTGGTCCCTTTTTCCAGATGTTGTGAAGATGGCAGGACAGGGGAGATAGACTAGTATACTACGGTGGAGGCCAAGAGGGAGTAGCAGTGCCTTGCTGAGCAGCTCGCTTCAAGGAAAGGATGCTTTATGAAATAATTCTGCTCTGTACTTCAACTGAGAAGGTGTGGACAGCAGAGAGAGCTTGTCTGAGCTGCAGAGTGCTGGGTCTTTTTTCCACGTTAAGAAGACGTGTTGCTGGAGGGACTACAGCTTTGGCAGGAGGAGGCCCTGATTAGCAGCTCTGGGTACACTAAAACACTTTCAGACAGAGAGGGAACATCAGGTGATACCTACTGCTAATGCACCTACAGCAATGCCGTGTCTTTTTAAGTTTTGGCCTTTATTGTGTGCCCGTTTCTGTAGCATCCTAAGGTAGGTGTAGGGATAAATTCCAGGTTAGTTGGTTTACTTTCAAACTGAATAAAATTTATCTGAAAAGTTCACTATAAGCACATAATGGAAAACAATGGCAGAGAGAACTGAAGTATTAATTTAGATTTATTAAAACTGAAGGCAGATTTCCCAGTTGTTTTCCATACCTAAGGGATAAATTTTGATCATTCTTGGCAGCTGCAAAATGCGGAGAGCAGATTCATAAGCTGAATTTGGAACTGTGAATGTTTCTGCTTGTTCTTAAAATACATTTATTCAGTGGATTTGTAAGCCAGACTGATGCCACAGTTTTAAACAAGTGCTAGTGGTTTTCTGCATTAAGAGAAAAAAAAAACACACTGGGTGAGGTGCCAGTGGCTTCTTTCAGTGTCTAAACTAGCCAAGGGTTCCTGCAGAGGAGAACTAGCCTATGTTTGGTTTTTAAGCTCTGGAGTCTTTCAGGCTGATAGCAGAGACCGGCAATTTTGGCTCTCAGCGTAATGGGCCCTATCAGAGTATTCCTGCATGTTCTCTTCCAGGTTCTGGCTAGAAGATTACCGTAGCTGGGTCACTTTGCCCTGCTGACTCTGTTCCACCATCTGTAAAACGTGGATAATAATACCGACCTGGTTATTAGAGCACCTGAAGATCTAGCGATGAAAAGTACTGAATAACAGCTGGATTTTTTGTATCGAGCAGACTGCGCGCGTGTGAGCGCGCAAGTCTGAGCGGTCTCTCTGGCTTAGACTCCTCCTGAGGCTCCCTTAGACCCCTCTGTCCAGAGGGATGGAGTATTACATGGAAACAGATTTCGGTTCACAGAGGATTAGTAACAGACTGCTAGTGGGCTTTTCTGTGGGAGATGGTAAAATCTGGCTAAACATTTCCAAAAAAAAGTTCTGATTTAACAAACTAAGTGCTCTTTTTTGGTGTCCTTCACCTAGGAAAGATACGTAGATTATTTGCTTTCTTTTTAAAGACATTCTTTAACGTGTTGTTGAGCATGAAGATAATCCTGCTAACAGGAATAATCTGGAAAAAGGCTACTTGATTCAGGTGCTTTAAAAAAAAAAAAAAGCAGCAGCAGCAGGGGGAGAGGCATTTTGAAAAAGCAGGAATGATTTGTCCCAAGAGCGGTGTGAAAGCAAAGCGGTTTGTATCTGTATAAAAATGTGCAGCTTCCCTGGAAGTGGGTGGGTTAAATTTATTTTGTCAAGAAGCAAGGAAACATCACAGCAAAGAATTTCAGAGATACTGGATATACAGTGCATGTTTTCAGATTAATTAAAAAAATTCTTTGTCAGATGACCCGTCTGCCTGTTGATGAAATCTCTCCCTTGAATCTGCTAGAGTGGAAGTTTCCATGCACACAGAGGAAATGACTGCCTAGGCTGTCTACTTCCTAATCCCCTGTTTGATTTTTGTTTAATAAAAACAAATAGAAGCAGCACTGAGCTTTTTGAATCCTTTTTGTTTTGTTTCAGCGTTGGTTGTTCGGCGTGTAGCATTTCAGCGGGTGGAGAGAAGGGAGATGAAACATTCAGCATGCATGGCTTAATTCAACACCAAGCTGAGACTCAGTCATCACAAATTAAACGATCCCAACCCGTAACACAAAGCGCAGAAGAATCTTGAAATTTCTTTTATCCTTTACCGTTCCAAAGTAGGCTCAAATGTGCAGTTTATGTTTGTTTGAAGGCAGAGTATAATCTGTCTGGAAGTCATAGTTCCAAGTAATAACGTTCCAAAAAATCACTGTCTCTCTATTTCAACCACTGGCCAGTTCTGGTAACCTAGAATATGCAAAGTATATTCCCACACAGGCCGTTGCTTCCTTATGCCTGGATCTGTGCAACAGGCAGAGCGAGCAGCTTGCTCCTGTGCAGTGTCACTGCTCATTTCACTGCTGTTGGTTCCGGTTTACTGCAAGATCATAAATAAAATAGTTTAATCTCAGCGAGGATGGTGAAGTGAATTTGTGTTCTCGCTTTTGGCGATGGAGGCAGAGGTTTGGAGCGGGGTTAGGAAGCTGGTGGTAGATGATATTGTACCGCTTCAGTTTGCTGCTCTTCTTAGCAGGAATTTGGCTTGGACGGCAGCTGCTGTGCAGCTCAGGTCTGGAATTAGCTGTATGTCAGGGTGGCAGCTCGCTGTCAGAGCTCTGCGAAAGGAAGTTCACGGGATGCCTGGCTACAGTATTTCTGGCTCTTCCGGCCAAAGCTATTGTTAAGCCGTTGACAAGTGCAGAATTTGTCCTCATTTTTGCTCTTACAGCACCTCCCTAAATTTGATTACAGCACTAGCTTTTTCTTTTAATTCCTAAGAAGATTTTTTTTTCTTTTTCTGAGCCTGTCTCTTGGGTGAGTGGGGAAGAGGCTAAGGTGTTTAGGGTAATAGCAGCTGAATTGTTCCTCTCATACCTCTCATAAGCTTTTTTTTTTTAGAACGGTATAGGCTGAACTCAAAACTTGGCAAATAAGGAGGATTTAAGCACCTCAATTCTGCCAAGACTAAAACTGCAATCCCCTAAGCGTCTTGCTCTACTGATGCCTGAAACTGGAGGTGCCTTGTTTTACTGAACGTCTTCTTGATGAACTTGGAAGCTTTTCAGTTGCCTGGAATTTGGCTTCCGTGGCTGCCTGGTGTATTGTAATCTAAGCAGCCTTGCTCCCAGCTAATCCCTGCTGAGATCAGGAAACCGAGTAGTGAAGCGTTTTAGCTGAGGGCCTTGATCTGATAGATATTTTCAGAGAGAACCTTTTGTACAGCAGCAGGGCTGGGCTCCTCACGAAACACATCTGCGGAGTTGAAGAGCCATGGCAAGGTCAGCTTGAACTGCCTCCAAGGGGAGAGCTGAGCCTCCATTCCCCATACTTTGAACCATCTCTGGGTTGTTGTTTCAACGATGGGCATCGTCACCACCACCAGTGCCAGAGAAGAGGGTGGGTCATCTTTGCTCCTTTACGAGGAAAAGTCGAAACGCCTATTTCTAGAAGATGATTCTGGGAGGATGGAGGCGGTTGAGCTCTGGAGGAGGCTCAGTGGTGTCGATCGCCCAGTTCTAGGTGATTTCTTCGCTCAGCCGAATTGTGCCTTTCAATCCCGTGCTGGATCCCTTGTCGTTCTCACGCCTGGCGCACGAAACTGGGAACCTACCAAAGGGTTCTGGGTTGTCCTGAGGAAGCATGTGCCCCTTTTATAAGCTTCTGAGGCTTTAAATCAATAGCAAGTGTGAAGTGTGACGCTCAGGCCTGCCCTGGCTTTGCTGAGACTTGACCTATTTTCTCTGAAAGAACCGTTTGAGGTGGATTTGTTCATGCATATGTAAAGCACTGCTTTGAACCGGCAGAGTAATAAATGAATGGCTGCAAACCCTTGCAGCACCTCTTGGGGGGGTATCTGAAATATTAATTCCACATTACCAAAATAGGAACGAAGATGAGGTACCTACAGCACAGGGTAGGCTAGGATTGTGGGAATCTACAACCCTATGCCCAGGCCTTCAGAGTGACTTGGTAGATGAAGCGTATGTGTTTAATCTGATAATTCCTAGAGAAGAAAATGTCCGGCTTAGTCAAAGTCTTTCATGGACGCTGCTTATCACTCTGTGCTGGGTATATGCAGGTACGTAGCAGAAGGAAAGCAGAAGGACTGCAAGAAGCAGCATTTTCCAGCTCAGTGACTGGTGGTACCAAGATAAATGCTTATTATCCAAATGCCCCTTCCTCCTGCACAAAATTATGAGTCTGAGAAAGTTATGATCTCTCCGCCTTAGCTCTCCTCTGCTAACTATTTATAAGGCTCTTACAGGTTTGCATTAAAAGAGTGGCTGTGTTTTCCGTGCATACCGTGTTTGTGGTGAGAATGCGGGTAAGGGAACGCTGCGCACGCAAAACGCTGTACTCGGGTCTTACGTTGTTTGCCTTTTCCTAACAAGGTTTTGTTCTCCCTCTTCTAGGCAGTCACTTCTTCCATCGTAATTCTCTGTCTCCCCGAAGCCTGGTCTACGAGAGTGAATTCTCAGCGATGGAGCCTACTTTGGACATGTATGACGAGAACAAGACCTGAAAGGAATCCGTATTCCTTCTTGGCCCTTTTTCCGTTTTTTTCATTTCTCATTCCTATTGTTGTGTACTCTTTCCATGGATCTCCTTTGTCCGAAGAAGAGCTGCTTTTTCCAGAACACGAACCCGTCTTCTAGATTACAAAGAGGAAGACCAGCAGCGGTGGTTTCTGAGGTGGCGTCTTTGAGCTGACAAGGTGTGCGCAAGCAAGGTTGTCTGATGGAAATTGCTGAGTAACAGCATGGGGAGCTGCGTCGGTCCAGCCGAGGACATGGTGAGACAGAAGAGGCTTTACGGTGGTCCTAAGAGTTTGGTTTGTACTGCAAATGCGTCTCTTAAATAGGCGTAGGCTGCTTCCATTTTTTTAACTGTCCGGCTATCTGGGCAACGTCAGAAAGGGAATAAGTTGCAGAGGAGATGGCAAGTGACTGGTAAAAGCACTCCATATCTCTCACTCAATCCATAACCTTACTGTGAAATATCCCCTTTTGAAAGGGACCTTTATAAGTGCATTGAGTTTCCTACAACCCATTTAACCCAGGCAATAGCAAGCCAGTCTGACCTTAAAGCTGCGGAGAGAACCTGCATTTGCAGAAAGATTTCAAGGAACTTGAAGCTTCAGTTTTTTTCTCCATTTCCATTGAAGCAGGAGAAAAATGGCCTACACAGCAAATATCTTTGGTCCTTCCTCGTGCTCCAGTCAAGTGAGTCTCTTGCTATTGAGATGCTGCTGCCGTTCATAGGACCAGCACTTGATCTTCCTTAAAATCGTTAGACTTTTTGAAATATGCAGGAACCTAATTAGCTCTCTTTCTTGCTTTGCTTTTTTTTTTTTTGGATTTTTTAAAAATCCACCGAATTTTTCACAGAGATTTTTTAAAAGCCAGCATGTTGGCATTACACAGAAAAGAAAAGAGGTAAGCTTCTTACCCTGTTCTCCCGTTGAGATCTGCAACAGTTAAGTAAGAAACACGTTCCCTAAGCCGTGCCCTTTCCCACTGACATCAATAATGTGAATGAAGAAAGCAGAAGAATAAAGAAAAGCGGCGACCGCTTTGACACTCAGTAGGGAAAATCAATTTTTACCAGCGTGTGACAAAAGCGGCAGGGCAGCGAATATTGTTTTCAAGCTTTTGCAAGAGCAGCAGCGAATGGAAATGGAAGGCGAGAGGGAGAACCTCCAGGATTTTGTAAAGAAGCCCACAGTGTTTCTCCAGATCAGCAGACGTGGAAAAGTGAGTGCTTCTGCTCCATCTTTTCCTGCTGGACAATGCATCGTTGTTTAATGAATGTTTAAGATTTTCTCCATTGCAGTCGGAGTTACTGTAGATGTAGAAATGCATTTGTGTCCTTGTAATGTGAAACAAAGCTTCACTTTCTATATAGAAATCTTGAGAAATCAGTAAGCCAAAAAAGGAAGGTAAGACAGACCTTGCCATGTTTTAATTTTGACAGCTTTTGCTGCAGGTGGGGGAACTTCCCCTCCTTTTTTTATTGTATAGCAGTCGTCTTGACATATATCCTTTCCTGAAGTGTGGTTCAGCCGTGTCTTTAACACAAATGTTTAAGAGGAAAAAAAAAAAAAACCCCAACTCTGTAAAATGAGGAAACGATCCTCTCAGCAGAGCACGCTTTGACTTTTGTTGCTGCACGTCGGCTTTATTTAATCCGATAATTTGAGAACGGGTGGTGTGACGTTTAGAGAGGCTTCTCTCATAGTAGCCATGTTTCTGTTTACCAAATGCACTTCGACTGTACTTCAGCTAACTCTAGAAACATGCCCGAAACCCACACTTTTCCAGAGCACAATTTTAACACCCCAGTTTCTCCTACAAAGCACTGAGGGCGTGAAGCTGAAGGTGGCGGAAAACGTCAGCCTGTTGCTTATGTTACAGCAGGTCAGTAGTCGGCCGTCGTTCCTCTTCCTGTCGAGGTGGAGAAGGGGACGCTGCGGACGGTGTGAGCAGGCCTGGGCAGAGCTCCCAAGCCGAGACTCTCCGAGCTGAACTCAGGTCCCGGCAGAGCTTAGACGCGGCAGAAAGGCTGGTTGAGCAACCCTGGTTTCCATAATTACGTCTGCGCGATCGCAGCGTGCGGTACATAAGGACAGGGAACTTCCCGAAACGGGCCAACGCCCAAAAGAAAAACCACCGTCTCTCAAGGACATGGTGCGGCTCAGGAGGGCTCGGTTCGCCAGCGTCGGGCGGCCAGCCTGCGAGGCAGCGTACGGCTGGTCCCGGCTAAATACAAACGTTTACTGGTG